GTTTAATGGCCTTGTTCTAAATCAATGTTCGATCTTTCTCCATTCCTGCAATATAATCCATGGTTCAGATAATATACCAGCTTTCAGGTTGCTGAAAGTCCATGATATGACTTGTATGCCGATGTCGGTTTTTCTAGTCATCAAGAAAACAACCGTTAAAAGGTACCATGAAAGGAAAAGCTAGTCTAGATTGCCCAAAGATAGAGAACATTAGAATACTTGATTCAATAACCGCACTTCTACAAACTTCGTTGGAAAATACCGATACAACAAGTCTTTATTTTTTCATATTAGATCCAATTTATTCATATCCTGCATGCTAATTCTAGTTGTAGATGTAGTACCACACAGTTAAATAGCAGGCTCAAAAGCTTTCGTCGCTTCTTTACTAGGTTTGAAGAAAGCCACAAGTTTTCCTCTCTGTGGCTAGCATTCCTTGCCAATGTCAGAATTTACAAAATCATTTCCATAATATCAGGTGGTTTTCCTTGTTGAAAAGATTGACTTCTGCTACCTCTCGGAAAACTCCAGCCCAGCGTGCAAATGTTGGCTGCAGCAATGTCCAGATATCCATAAAATGCCCTCCGAAGTGTTTCTTACCTTTAAGCTCTCTTTCTAAAATGGTCAGGTACTCCTTTGATTTTTCTAGACAAGTCTTCGCATGCCGCCTTCGTTCTAGAATCAATTACGAAATGTACGAATGCACTGAGTATACAGAGATCAGAACTTGAGCGTTGTAATTCGTTATGAGTCGCAAGTATATATTTTCTAGGATGAGTGAGTTATCATAATTTTTGAAGACTAGCTTTTTCTGGTTAATTTATTAGGAACAAGAATTAGGTTTTTTTTCCTGATAAACTACTAGTTTTTTCGTAAACTCAGTACGAAAATGTAGGAAGCCACCTTCAAATGAAATGCTAGTTTTTTCTTGATAAACATTTATCTTAACAGCTATAAAGTGATGCCTGAACTAACAATCTGGTAGACTTATACAAAGTTTTCAGGTTTAGCGTTACTTGGAATTTTTTGGAATTTTCCCACTGACGCTACCATTATAGTGCAATTCTGCACATCTTATCTTCATTTTGTCGTAGTGCATCAGTAGTTAATCTTTAATGGATCTCTCTTGACGGCCAAATGTTGATTTGGTTTATTAGAATTATTGATTGCATTTTTTACCGCGAAAAAATAGATGATTCCTCTTATGACTTCAAAATTCATTAAACTCCAAGCAGCTCTTCTCCGTAGATTAGTTGCTATGTCATTTTATAATTACTAAATTGGTTTAGAAAGCATTTTCCTTGTCCATTGTCCATAAATTATATCATCTGGATCAGTGAATGGAAAAAAATCCTTAGCACGTCCTTTCTGAAAATATTGCTACTCAACTACAAGAGCCCAGTCTGAAAACCGTAAGTTAGCAAACACAACAGAAAATCTGACGACACGTCAAAGAAAGAAAGAAGGAAAGATCGAAAACCAGAGAAACTAATTCTTCATGTATCTTAGAGTCAAACTCCCTAACCCTAAACTTCCTCCCTCCTCCGTCTCTATTTTTCTCTCTTTTAGATACTACTTCAACGAGTATATGATACATATATCATGGGGTTTCTGTCTACATGGCCGAAATTACAGGAACACCAACAGCACATAAGCAGTGAATTCCATGTGCCCCTTCCCCACCCTGTAGCATGGGTGTGATATAGTAGGGGTTCAATCCCTGATAGCATCGTTATGTATTCTCCATGTAAATCAGACTCCATATACAACACTAGAAATTACCTTCATGTGACGAACTTCCAGGTCCATGGAACTACATACTTGCTGATTGGGTGAACTTCATTTCTATTTGGCTATATTAGCTGAAAAGGTTGCATCTTTAAAAACAACCATACTTTGATCAAACTGATCAACTGAAATAAATCAATTGCGTTTCCAACAGGAAATCCAAAATCAGAACAGTGAAATACCCGTTACATGTTGTTCTACCAACTAAATGCAAATTCTCTTCCACAAAGGACAGTTTCCATGTGGAAGAATCAGTTCTAATGCACGAATACCTCGGGAAATTTACAAGTATGCAGGTTTCTACTCATTACCGATTGGATCATAAACTCCAGCCACAGGCCCGCAACCGCCACATTTGTTTAATCTTTTCATTCAAACAATTCCTACAAATTGGCCTTTAATACAACAAATGCTACAAATTCTGCCATTTGATAATTTTTTACCTCAATATCTTGACCTAGGGCTTATTGGGTCTCTTGTTGACGAGACCTACTAGTTATAGGACATCTCTGTGACATCCCACTAATTTAGTCCCACATCGGTGGGAGAGTGAAAAATTGGGGTGTTTATATAGTGAAAGCTAAAGACTCAAGTGTAACATCGGCTAGTCGATTTTGGCAATGATTTGAGCCAAACAGTGCGTTACACTCGGTGGGTCCCACGGCTTGCACGCGCCAACGGGCCGCGGGCCCGGGGCGTGACAATCTTTGTGTTGCTCTCATGTTTCGAACAATGCTAAATATGCTAGTCTCAGCAGATCTATGTTACCCGGGTACTTCTATAATGAAGTCGTACCCATAACGGACATGTACCTGACACTTTCTCTTACCCAAACTTCATGGACACTTATTGAATATATGCATGCATTTATTAAACATGTACTCAATTATACGATATATGTGTTAATTTAAAACACTAGTCAAAGACTTGTGTTAATTTAAAACACTAGTCAAAGACTTCCTGGACGTATAGCTTACACTTCACATCCGTCTTTTGAAACTAATGAGATACTGGTCGGATTCGTTTCAGTCCATACCCAAGTTTAAAACTATATAGTTAATGGGTCGTTTAGATGTCTAGTAAAAAAATGAGTAGTTTACAATTCATGATAATCAATATGATAAAAGAAACTCAAAAATATGATCGGAATTTTAATTCTAATGACACATGAAGGGGGGAAATTATCTTATGTACAATATTAATTCAATATATATAGGTAGTCGTGTCCCCGTACCCTACATTTTACAGTTTTACTGTGTTTCGTACCCGCACCTGCACCCGTACCAGTACCCGTGCCCGTTTCCATGCAACTTAGCAGCAGATCATTCAGTGTCAATTAAGAAAAAGATAACAGGTGCTTATGTTTTGAATCTACTAGCTGCTTCTCTTGTTGTTATGAGTTCAAATTGTAAGCGTACGAAACTTCTTATTTTCTCTTTTGTTTATGCACAAAGCCCAAAATTATCAACCACATTTTTCCAAAAGTAAACACATAAATCAATGAGCATCATCCTCCAGTTGATTCAAAGCAACATTAAAGTCATAATCCATTGATCAGATATGACTCCAACAATTAGTATGCAACTTGCTACAATACATATCAAACATTTCATTTTCCTCAGATTTCTCATCCATAATCATCATTTATTCATATGCTGCAGATATGTTTGTGACTAAAATCACAAAACTAATTTACAGAAACTTTCTTAGCTAAGATGGCTTGTTTTGTAGCCTGATACAAAGCAGTTAATTCTTCTCTATTAGGTAAACTTTTATTAACAACACCAGAGATCAAGAACTCTTGAGACCATTTCAACAGGTTAGAGTGATTCTCTTCATTGTTCAGATATACTCCATTCACCTTCTCTATAACTCCAGTCCAAAAAGCAATGTAGCTTGCTACAATATCCACAAGCCCAATAGCATCTCCTCCAAAGAACTTTTTCCCTTTGAGCTCTTCCTCGAGAATCTTCAGGTTTTCCCTAGTCTGCTCAATGCATTTTTCCTGATCTTCACCTTCGCCCCAACATGCTATCCTCAAATTCGGAATGAACTGAGAATGGAAATGGATTTTATATCATATGAATGATCGAGAAATAACTAAACATGATGGTGGTTATTATTTAATTAGATTGGGGGACCCCTTGTAGTATCATTGTTTTGAACTCACTACCTCCGTAGTTTCATTTGTACCGTAGACCCTCCAGTGAAAATTTGTTGACTTTCTTACCTCAAGGTTGTCAAACAACAAATTTTTTTCTTCCTCAGAATAAAAGAGGCAGAAAAAATTCAATCAGGGGTCCTATCTGTAAAAACAAAACTAGAGGGGTAAATAACAGTACTACCTATGGATTAATTATTACCTTTTCGTTGATGAACTTTGCCAATAAGCGTGCATAAGCCTTTTCTTGTGGCTCTTATGGAAATAAGGGATATCCACCCCAAGTATCTGCTAGGGTACACCCCGATAATAACACCTCTTACGGAGACGTAATACACAAAATAAAGGCACAATATTCAACACAGTATTCACAGATATACGTGGTTCACTCCTTCGGAGCTACTCCACGGTGCAACCATGACGCCAAATTCTTTTATGGAGCTACTCCACGGTGCAACCATGACGCCAAATTCTTTTATATCCCAAAAGAATAGATCAAAGAGAACGCTCTCTCTTGATCAGATACACTCCAAGAACTCTCACAATCTCTCTCTGTTTTCTCTCTTACTCTTCTATGAGAGGAGTTGTTTCTGGGATGAGATTTTCTTAAGAGGTTAAGGCCCTATTTATAGTGTTTGGAAAACACTATGCACAAATAAAATATTATTGGTGGGACCCGCCACTAATAATATTTTAGTTAGTGGGACCCGCCACCACTTTAATTTGTCAAACTTTACAGGCTCCTTTCGGTCACCGATTGCATTTCTCAAAAAATATAAGGCGGGGGCGGCTGGCTAAGTCAAACAAGGCTGCAGGCAACAATCTCCCACTTGAAGATTTGATTGAGTATCAATCATATCTTCACACCCTTCTTGGTTGCATCATCCGGATGTCTTGTATCTTTAGTGTCTTGCACGGCCTTCAATATTCTCAACGGAGGCCATATGAGGCTGCACACAGCCTCACCTTCTCGAGCGGAACTGGCTTGGTCAGCATATCGGCTGAATTGTTGCTCGTATCAATCTTCACAAGCTTAAACTCGTTCCTGCTTTGCCATCTCCTTACGGCATGGTGCTTTATGTCAACATGTTTGGTCCGAGCATGGAATGCGTCGTTCTCTGACAAGTGAATGACACTCTGACTGTCGCAGTGGATGAAGTATTTCTCAAAGCTTACTCCAAGCTCAAGAAGAAAAGCCTTCAACCATAGCAACTCCTTTGCTGCCTCTGCTGCAGATACGTACTCGGCTTCGGTTGTTGACAAAGCCACAATATCCTGTAACTTGGATCTCCAACTTATCGCGCTCGTGCTCCTTCTTGAGTCTATGTCCCCTGCGTAGTCTGCATCACAAAAGCCCTCTAGCTGCAAATCTGCCCCGCCATACTCAAGACAACGGTCGGACGAGCTTCTCAAGTAGCGTAGAAGCCACTTGACTGCACCCCAGTGTTGTTTCCCTGGATTGCTCATGAAGCGGCTCACAACTCCCACTCCTTGTGCAATATCTGATCTCGTGCAAACCATCGCATACATCAAACTCCCGACGACAGATGCGTATGGTATGTTGGCCATGAACTCATGCTCTTCAGCAGTCTCTGGTGCTTGGTTCTTCGATAGCTTGAAATGGCTCGCAAACGGCGAGCCCACCGGCTTAGCTTTCTCCATGCCAAACTTTCAAGAATCTTTTCAATGTATGCCTTCTGAGACAATCTCAGCCTCCGTGCTGATTTGTCTCTGATGATCCTCATCCCAAGAATCTGGTTTGCTGGATCCAGATCTTTCATCTCAAAGCACTCGGAGGGACGTTCTTTGAGTTCTTCAATGCGGGCCAAGTCGGGCCCAGCAATCAACATATCATCAACATAAATCAAGAGTATCACATAAGATTCGCCATATCTCTTGATGAAGCAGCAGTGGTCTGTGTCGCATTTGAGAAAATCGTTCTCCTCCATAAAGTTCTCGAACTTCATGTACCACTGTCGCGTGGTCTGTGTCGCATTTGAGAAAATCGTTCTCCTCCATAAAGTTCTCGAACTTCATGTACCACTGTCGCGGAGCTTGCTTCAGGCCATACAAGCCCTCCATAAAGTTCTCGAACTTCATGTACCACTGTCGCGGAGCTTGCTTCAGGCCATACAAGCTCTTGCGCAGACGACACACGAGGTCCTCCCTGCCTCGTTCCTCGAAGCCAACTGGTTGATGCATATAGATTTCTTCCTCCAGATCTCCATGAAGGAATACCGTCTTCACATCCATCTGTTCTAGGTGGAGATCTAGAACTGCTACAATGCTCAGCACAGTTCGGATCGTGGTCAACTTGACGACGGGAGCGAAAACGTCAGAATAGTCAATCCCTGCTTTCTGTTCATAGCCCTTCACTACAAGCCTCGCCTTGTAACGTCTCCGTCCATCGGTTTCATCCTTGACCCGATAAATCCACCGATTGTGAAGAGCTTTCGTCCTCGTGGAAGCTTTACGAGCTCTCAAGTCCCATTTTTCATCAAGGATTTCATTTCTTCCTCCATAGCAGACTCCCACTCGCCCCGAGCTTTGCCGGTCTGTTGTACCTCCTCATAGCTCTCTGGCTCACCATTGTCAGTCAGAAGAAGGTAATTCATGGTGGAAAGGTACCTCTTTGGCACCCTTGGATTTCTTAGAACTTTGCGAATTACGATTGGCAACTATGCTGGATCCTGCTGCTGTGCATCCGGCATGTTCTCTTGGTCTCCGTCTTCTATGTTGACTGGTATTTCACCGTCGTCCTCACTATCAGTAATATCTAAAAAGAGAGGGGAAGATAGCTGACTCACACTCAATTCTTTGGTCTTGTACACCGCATTCTCATGGAACACGACGTCACGACTGCGCACCACCTTGCGCGCATCGTGATCCCATAAACGGTACACATACTCATCTCCTCCATAGCCGATGAAAGATAGCTTCTTTGATTTTGGATCAAGCTTTGACCGGTCTGTAGGATTGGTCATGACATAGGCGTCACAACCAAATACTCGTAAGTGCTCTAGCTTCAGCTTCTTTCCGGTCCAAGCCTCTTTAGGTATCCCATAACTGAGAGCCGCAGATGGCCTGCGGTTGATCAAGTATGCAGCAGTATTGACAGCTTCGACCTAAAAACTCTTGGGCAATCCGGAGTGGATCCTCATGCTTCTTGTGCGCTCTAAAATAGTACGATTCATGCGCTCCGCCACTCCGTTGTGCTGAGGTGTGCCTAGGACGGTCTTCAGTCTCCGAATCCCACGAGACGAGCAGAAGTTCTCAAACTCCTGGCTGTAATACTCGCCTCCATTATCAGATTTTAGGCACTTCAGCTTATTGCCTGTTTCATTCTCCACACAGGCAAACCACTTCTTGAAGATGATGAAAACATTTGACTTGTGCTTTAAGAAGAACACCCATAGCTTTTTAGTAGCATCATCAATAAAAGTAACAAAATATAGAGAGTTGCCAACAGATAGGACCTGTGCAGGTCCCCACACATCAGTGTGCACCAACTCCAATTTCTGTAGTTTTGGAGCCGGTCCGGTCTTGTTGAAGCTCATCCTCTTCTGTTTGCCTAGGATGCAGTCCTCACAGAAAGTCAGATCGATCTTGTTCAGACCCGGAAGCCTCTCTCCCACGACCATAATCTGCATCCCCTTCTCGCTCATATGGCCAAGTCGTCGATACCAAGTCATGCAGTCGACGGATGATGATGATGATGCTTGTCCTGCGGCAAGCAAGTAGTCGATCTTCCCGTTGACGATGTAGAGAGACCCCTCGCGTTTGTCGTGTGCCACCATCAGGGCACCCTTGGACACCTTCCGGCTTCTCTGCTCGAAGGATACTCTGTAACCGGAGTCAGTCAGTTGCCTGACTGATATAAGATTTTGTTTGAGATCCGGTACATGCCGAACATCATTCAGCGTCAAGGTGGTCCCGCCCTCTATATTGAGGGTATAATTTTTCTTTCCGGAAACCTTGCAAGGTTGATCGTCGCCAAAATGGATTATCCCCAAGTCCTTCTTCACGAACGATGAAAACAGCTTTTGTTGTGAGGTTGCATGAAAAGATGCGCCAGAGTTGATGACTCACGCATCGCTTTTGTCTTCTAGGGATAGGAGAAGTGCATCCGAATCCATCTCGTGCATGAGATTGGGTGCACCGTCAGCCCGATCATCCCCTGCTGATGCTGGAACGGTAACTCTGCAGTCCCGTACAAAGTGGCCATTCTTTCCGCATCTGAAGCACTTCCCTTCACCGTAACCATTCGGGTTAGGCCCTTTAGACTTCCCTCTGGATTTTGATTGGCCTCGTCGTCCCCTACCCTTCTTCTGTGCACGCCCCCGTGTCTCAACATGCAGAGCACTCCCACTGCTAGAGGCCTCAGCTCCTGAGACTTTGCGGCGAGATTCTTCATCCAGAATTGCCCTAACCACTGTGTCGAGCTTCATCTTGTCATTGTCATTAGCGTTGCTCACCGCCATCACCATATTCTCCCATGAATCTGGTAGATAAGAAAGTAACAGAAGAGCTTGGATCTCGTTGTCGAACTTTAGATCTACTGCAGCAAGCTGTTGCACCACAGCCTGAAATTCGTTTAAGAAGTCCGCCACGCGAGCTCCTTGCTGCATCTTAAGATTGAATAGCTTCTTATCAGGTACACCTTATTTGAAGCAGACGGCTTCTCATACAGCGCCTCCAAGACCTCCATCAACTCCTTGGTGGTGGTCGCATGCGAGACGTTGTAAGTCACGTGCTGGTGAAGGTTGAGCCTAATGGTGACAAGTGCTTTACGATCGAACACCTTTCACTTATCATCGTCCATCTCTCAGGTTTCCCCGCCTCTTCTTGGAGGGGTAGAAAGAGATCCTTCTGGTACAAATAGTCTTCTATTTGCCTCCTCCAATACCTAAAATTTTGGCCGCCGAACTTCTCAATTCGAAGTATGTTGTCTTCAACTATAGATCCCATGGCGAAAGATTACGTCTTTCCTGTATTTGTGAATAGTATCATATTCATGAATAGTACCGTATTTGTGAATAGTGTCGTACACATGAATAGTGTCAAATACCTTAAAAGAGTAAATAATAATCTAACTTATTTTCTGATGTGGAGGATCCACTTTTAGTGGCAGCCGATATACGTGGTTCACTCCTTCGGAGCTACTCCACGGTGCAACCATGACGCCAAATTCTTTTATATCCCAAAAGAATAGATCAAAGAGAACACCTTCTCTTGATCAGATACACACCAAGAACTCTCACAATCTCTCTCTTTATTTTTTCTCTTACTCTTCTATGAGAGGAGTTGTTTCTGGGATGAGATTTTCTTAAGAGTTTAGGGCCCTATTTATAGTGTTTGAGAAAACACTATGCACAAATATAATATTATATGTGGGACCCGCCACTAATAATAAAATATTTGTGGGACCCACATCCTTTATAAATTCTCAACAATGGCTGCCACCGAATTTGATTTTTCTTCTTGTGGGGCCCGCCTTTGTGGGCCCCACTTTTGTTTTCATGTTGGCTGGGTCAAAAAGGTTAGGCGCCTGACAACCACCACTTTAATTTGTCAAACTTTGCAGACTCCTTTCGGCCACCGATTGCATTTCTCAAAAAATGTAAGGCGGGGGTGGCTGGCTAAGTCAAACAAGGCTGCAGGCAACAGTATCTTGAATGTATTCAAGGATAATTAGTGACTCGGCTATTGATTTCCCATTGTGCACAAGAATAGGAATATCCTTCATGAAGATTGGAATAAGGGGATTAGACTTGAGAATCAATGGGCTCCCTTGAGGTTGAGAGCAAGCTCTACTTGGTAAGTGAAGGGACATGACCATGATCCTAAAACCTTCACTTCTTTAGCCATTTTTCTAACAATTTCTTTAAAGCATCGAGCTTTTATATACACACAAACATTTGTTAAAGACGAACTAAAATAAGAACGTATAGGATTTTATTTATTGCTTCTCCCTTCTATGTCCATATGATTATATTAAGAAAAATGCACGGTAGCAACTGCTATTAAGTAATAAATTATAGATTCCCCGTTACATGAAAACTTATGGTGTTTTATAAGTTACACTACTAGAACAGAGTAGATTTGTTTTGTATAGCTGGTGAGAGCAGATAGTTTTTTCTTGGAGTGAAGAGTTTTTCCATTATGGCTTGAACCCACGAGCCCATTGGCGAGATGTAAGCCTTGGGACCCATTGACTGCAACACGTGGTTTGGCTCAATCTACTACCAAAATTAACTAGTCAATGTTGTGCACTTATCTATCAAGACTCGTCATTTTTTAAATCTCTTAAAAGTCTACCAATTTCTTAATGTGGAACTATTATCGGAATCACCCTACCTTTAATATGTCACGTCCTTGTCATGGCATGACGCCTCTTGTGGATTCTAGAGGTGTCCCACCGCACTCGCACAATGTAGAATTTAGTCCCACATACCACTTAGTTTCACACTTTTGGCTGACTAACTGCTCTGATGCAATTTGTCAGTGTCGTGGGCCTGCTAGCCTATTGGTCCAATGTAAACCTTAGGACCCGCTAAGTGCAACATATGGTTTAGCTCAATGCATTACCAAAATTGACTAATCAAAGGTGCACCTGACTTTCCAGACTCGTTTAAACACTATTAATTTCCCAATGTGGGATTATTAGTGGGGCATCACATTTTCGGTGGAGTTTGTATATCTTTGTTTCACTTTTACTATTGAATAAAATCTAGCCTTCATGCAAGGAAAAAAACAATATTTTTGTTATCTTCTGTTTCATTCTAATTCAGTCATGTCATAGGATAGGGGAAATTTTGTCATTATCTGACCTTTGGATTTTAGGAGTTTGTCCACCCTGCTCTTTGCGTTAGACCTCATAACCTCATCAAGTGAAAGATATCATTCTTTTGAATTAAATGGAGATAATTAGGAATAATCCTAAAAGAGTGTGTATTAAGTGGTTAGAAGGTCTAAACTAAGTTTGGACTAATCCACAAAGACTACCTTTAAATAGCCAGAGAACAATTCACATTTTATTTCAGTTTGAAGCGTACTTTGGGAATCTTCAGTTCAAGCAAGAGTTTGAATTAAGTGGGTTGATTAGTATTTAACCCACAAAGAGATATTCAGCGGTCAGACGACAATGACCTTAGTAGGTTCAGACAATCTAACTTAAATGGTTAATTAAATGACAATTCAAATTCTAGCTACTTTAAGGAATCTTGAGAAAAAGTTGCCAGGAACTAATAGTTTGTCTGTAGTGGACATTGCATCCACAGGTAAGGATATCGAATTCCTTTGAACGATGCATACAAGAAGGTTAGGACTGATCACAAAAAGGTTGATAACTTTCAAATTTTAATTTTGTTTAGAAGCTACTACACTTATTTGGCTTTTTGTAAAGTTCTCCAAGAATTAGTTTCTCTCAAAGTGGAGCTATAAGCAATGGGATTTGAATTTTCCCCTTAATAAATTACATATCTAGATATGCTTCCAAACAAATAAGAAAGATATATATAGAACAATTCACTTGGTGAATCTAACATAAATTTGTTATTATTTAGAAATTTTGACAGTTAAGAGGGCTCAACCACTTATAAATTCCATATTGTAATTTTGCTTCTGATAACAGACGCCTTAAGAGAGAATTGCATGTTTAGATAACTACTTGTATCGGTAAGAAAGTTGAAAATATTTTTGTTTTACCATTTATTTATACATTTAGACAAACAATATAAGTAGGAGATATTGTGAAATGGTGATAGTGTCACAAGCAGCAAATGGCTGCAGAAGTGAAGCTTTTGGGATATTGGTCGATCCCTTTCAGCCGTCGAATAGATCTTGCGTTGAAGCTCAAAGAAGTACTCTATGATTATATTGAAGAAGACCTTTCAAAAAAGAGTGCTATGCTTCTTAAATATAATCCCATATATCAAGAAGTCCCCACTCTCGTGCACAAAGGAAAATCAATTGTAGGATCTCTCGTTATCCTTGAATACATTGAGGAAACGTGGGATGTGTATCCTTTGCTACCTAAGGATCCATATGAAAGAGCACATGCACGTTTCCTAGCAAAGTTCATTGATGAGAAGGTGTATATGGATTTATGGGTTAGTCGCAGATAGACCCCCTGTACCATCGTCCAATTGAGGATGGACCAGCTGTAGTTGTACTGTTGTGGATAGCCTAAGTGAAATTTGTGACCCTTTTACCCTCAAGATGTATATTTGACAAAAACAATTTCTCTTTCTCTGAGAGTAAAAGAATCGCCTACTTTCACTCAGAAGGTGCAACAACAGAACTACTAGGGGTCTATCTGCAATTGGGCAATAGTACAAGGAGTCTATCCAAAACACCTTGGATTTATGACTGGTTTTCTTTCTTTGTTCTTAATCACCGATGTTGCATTTGTTTTGTGATGCCATTTATTTATTAGAAATCACACTGATGTTAAGTTTATTGATATATTCATGAAATATATAGTTAATTTAAACCTTTCTTAAATATAATGGTCTAGAACTCCAGCATCTAATTCTTTACTTACTGTAGTGTGTTCCAGCGTTCCGGATGTTATTTTGGGAGGACGGAGACTACAAGAACTCAATGGAACAAACAAAGCAAAACATTAGCATCCTTGAAAGAGAAATTAAAGGTAAAAGATTTTTTGGAGGACATACCATCGGGTTGGTAGACATTGCAGCAAATTATGTTGCTTTCTGGATTGGAGTACTCCAAGAGATGGCTGATATTGATCTGCTCAATGAAGAAAACTTTCCCAACTTATGGAAGTGGACTCAGGAATTTTTAAGCTGTGATGTTGTTAAGAATAGCTTGCCTGATAGAAATAGATTGCTTGCTTACTTCCAAGCTAGAAAAAAGTCCTTGCAGGTTGCAAAAGCACCTGCAGTTTAAAGGTAAAGCTATACAAGTAAATAAGCATATGATATGAACAAATGGTGACAGAGGATAATAAATAAAGCGAATGTAAACTCTATATTATGTTGAAAAAATTAATAGAAATCTTTTCATATCCAATCTGATTTATCCAGCAACTGAGCACTATCCAACTAGGTATCTCTACAAATATTGCACTGACGGGCAGTAAATTTGAAGGCACTTAAGATGGATAAATCCATAAAAACTAAGAGGTCTTTTTATGTTGAACTCTCTCTATAGAAGGATGAATGGTTGAGATAAAGCTCAAATACTATTCTCTTAAATAAACCAACAATATATAAAAGAAGTCCTCCTTATATAGACCAAAGTGTTTTTTTTTTTTGGAGGGGATATAGACCAAAGTTTAATGCGCAGAAGAATAAAAGAAAATATCCACTTACATAAAATCTGAACATCTTCTGCTTACTATGACTGCATCTCACTCCCAAAATATTCTCATAAAGTATTCTTAGAAGATTCTAAATAATTATTGATGTAGATTTATCTATTTGTTCCTATTTTACAAGTAACTTAATTTAAAATATCTTAGGAAGAGTGATCATTTAATTTTTTTCTAACTTAACGTAGGTATGTGTGTGTGTGTGTGTGTGTGTACAAGAGAGGATTTCATGATTTATACATATGCAAATTAAAGTAATAAAGTCGTTTTCACACCATTTCCTACAATTTCTCCCATATTCAACTTCTTAGTTCTTTTAAAAAAAAGACCAAAAATGGTATTGCAATTTGACTATAAAAACCCAAACATTGTGGGCAAATAGCAAGTTATCAGTAGGTATGTGTGTGTGTGTGTGTGTGTGTACAAGAGAGGATTTCATGATTTATACATATGCAAATTAAAGTAATAAAGTCGTTTTCACACCATTTCCTACAATTTCTCCCATATTCAACTTCTTAGTTCTTTTAAAAAAAAGACCAAAAATGGTATTGCAATTTGACTATAAAAACCCAAACATTGTGGGCAAATAGCAAGTTATCAGAAATAAGAAAATGGCTAAGGAAGTAAAGCTTGTGAGATATCGCACAAGCCCTTTCAGTCTCAGAGAAGAGCTTGCTTTGGAGCTCAAGGGAGTTCCCTATGATTGCCTGGATCTTGAGGATGTTCCAGACAAAAATGCTGTGTTTCTTGAGTATAATCCTATATACAAGAAGATCCCTGTACTTGTGCACAAGGGAAAATACGTAGCTGAATCCCTCATAATACTTGAATACATCGAAGACACATGGGGTGCATATCCTCTACTCCCCAAGGATCCATATGAAAGGGCCTGTGTGCGTCATTTGGCCAACTTCATTGATGACAAGGTGATATTAACGACATATATTTTTTTACTTTATGATTTTAGGTTAATTGCACATTGACCCCTAGTATTGTTGTTCTGAACTTACCACCCTTGTAGTTTCATTAGGACTCTTTTACCTTGGGTGAATTTAGTGAGTCTATTTGAGAGTAACAGAGTTGAAGAAAATTTAACCCAGGGGGCCCATCTGCAAAAATGAAACTACAACGACTGTAAGTTCAAAAGAATGATACTACAGGAGGGTCTATCCACAATTAATGATTTTATATCATATGATTTTATATATTTGAATTTAGTTCAATTTTTTTCAGTGCATTCCTACATTCCGGAAGGCATTTTGGGGCGATGGCGATATGCAGAAAACCTCGATGGAACAGTCAAAAGAATATCTAAGCATTCTACAAAAAGAACTTAAAAATAAAAAATTCTTCGGAGGAAATTACATCGGGTTTCTTGACATTGCTGCAGCCTATATTGCTCTATGGGTTGGAGTTCTTCAAGAAGTAGCTGGAGTAAACCTGTTCAATAGAGAAGATCATCCCATTTTATGGAAATGGTCTCAAGAGTTTTTGAACTCTAAAGTCGCGAAGAAAATCTTGCCTGAGAGAGAAAAACTTGTTGCATTTTTCAATGGCCGGAAAGAGATCATGAAGGATTCTATTAAGACTGTGATCTGATGAAATGTTGCAGTTTGCAAAAAGTAAATGTATGCTGGATATGAAATAATGGTCATAATGAATGACAAGTAAATGATGTTTCTTTACTCTCACTAACATTTTTGTGTGCTGATTTGTGTATTGGTTTTAAGTGTAGTGTTGACATATTAAATCATAGGATTCATCATGTAACTTTTGTTGAAGTTGTTGCGACCATGGCTGGAAATGAATAGGAAGGAATCAAATACTTAACGTGTTTATATGTGTGCTTGTTTAAAATTTTCGAATCTGAATCCAAATTTGAATTTCCAACTGTTTGAATATGAATTTGAATATGAATATTGAAGGACTGTCATGGATCTAGATAGTCACTGACCAAGAATGTATATCAGTTTTCAAAGTTTGCACAGTCCATATGTGCATCCGACATGCATTGATTTTTTGAGTTCCGTCGTATCGGACGCTAAATCCTTTCTTAATCCTATATACTAGCCCCCCAAATGCTCATATTTTTAATTTATACCAATATACTATCAGGTTCAATTTCAAAAGCCCCGTTTAATTTTATTTTTTTAGGTAACCCCCCATAACTTTAAAAATGACATTTACCCTTCTTAAGTTTTGGGTTTCTCGCAAAAACCCCAAACACTTTCAAATATTTAACGTGTCTATATATTTACTTGTTTAAAACAAAAGCCACTGAAAAAAAGTAACTTAAATAAACACTCCAAAACTACCTTACGGTAAAAAAAAAATCCCAAATTCCCACCCCTACTTTATCCCTCTTATAACGCGATAGACCCAAAAGGGTTTTTCCCTCCAAAATAGCCAGAGTTTGTCGTAGGTGAAGAAGGACAACTCTATGCGATTGTAAGCACCACTCTTATCAACAGATGACATCAAGTGATCATTACGTGTACTCTATGCATTGGTAAGCACCACAGCATGCTACCAACGGCAGATAAGAATGAAGGAGCATTATCGCAAACACCTAGTGTGCATAAGCTCTGATGACTTTAAAATGTTTGCATTCCAGTGCAAGTCTTCCCGAGTTCATTTCCAACCTAGAAACTAAAATGCCCTTTCCACTTGCTAAGGAGATAATGCTGCCGCTGATGATGATGATGATGGAATGCTGGCTTCTTCAAATTTTTGAGTGAGAGGGAGCGAGAAAGAGATTAAGCTTTCGGGTATGCACAAGACTACAAGGCCTCGTTTGTTACACGGAACGAATGAGAATGAATATCAATTCTCACTTCTAGTTCCTTTCTTACCGAACACAATTTCTTTTTTAAATTGGAATGTAACATTCTCACTTCTTATGGATTCTTACTTTATTTGGGAATGATCATTCCCAATTTATGCATTCCTAAGGGGGGTTAGTCACCTAGAACTTAAAATTAGAACTGGGATAATCTGTGGGATAAAATTTTAAAGTGTTAATCACATAGAACTAAACCTAGAACAAAATTTTAAAGTGTTAGTCACATAGAACTAAAACTAGAATAAAATTTTACAGTGTTAGTCAAGCAGAACTTTAACAAAACTAGAATTGGGATAATTGTACAAAATTATCCCACTTTTTTTATTTTTCTATACAAAAATGAGAGTTCTAGTCTCTCAAATTATTCCAAGTTTTAGCTTGGAACTATGTGGAAAAAACTAGAACTCGTATTTATTTTGTTATTTTTTATTTTTTTTTTCTTTACTTATTTCCTATTATGGTTATCACCATTATTAAACCATCATCATAACATTCTTGTAAACAATTATTAATTAATAATAGTAAGTTTAAAATACATAAATAGTATTTATATCTTCAAAATGCATAAATATATACTTCATGATTATAAAAATTTATCCCACGTTATTTTATCAAAATATCCTGCTTCACAAAATTGTTCCTAGTTATCCCACTAAAATATCCCACTAGCGAAATATTATTCCACTTTAACAATTATCCCATTTTGCATGAAAATGTCCTAATTGACTAACACCCCCAATAAATGATAGGGAATGGGTATTCTCACTTAAGTGGAATCAATAAAATATAAAATTTTAAAGTACGTTCATTCCAACTTCATTTTATAAATTGCACCCAAACGTGAGAATGGAAATAAGTATTTCATTCTCACATTAAATTTCTATTCCATTACTTAGTCTATTCCATTCTCATTTCCATCGATTCTCACGTACCAAACGAGGCGCAAGAGAAAGAGACTGGCTTGATGACTCAATTACGTGCTCAGTTAGATCCAGTTAGGGAGTTACTTGTACGGGTGCGGGCTAATTGGTTCAAACTGATTGAACTCACCGAACCCATCGTATTTTAATGGTTCGATCTGTTTTTAAAATGTGGTTCAGTCAGGTCGGTTTTAGAAAATTTCAAACCGAATTAATCAAACTGACCAAACTAATATCGGTCCATTTAGCTTAGTCCCCGCTTGTAGAATGGTTAGGTTCAGTTTTGCCAAACTTTGTCAAAACCAACCGACCTGACCGTTTGCTCATCCACCTCTAGTTGCCTGACAAACTTAAAAAGTGTTAAGTTCTATTTCTGAAGTAAAGGGGGTTGATGTTGAAACAAAAGTGGGGTTTTGTGAAATTTACCCTTCTCTTGATAAACATCTTTTGGTTAAATTTAGCTCTAGTTAGTCAACTTTCTATTGTTAGTTCAAATAACTTAAATAGATTTGAACATGCCTATTAGAAATATAACGGTTTGGATGGTAAATATAAAGTAAGAAAGAATTTAGGGTCTAATATGAAGCCTTAAAGGGGTTGAGGATGATGTTATTTAAAAAAACTTAATAGATTTGAAGGTGAAAATTAAAAATATGAAGATTGACAGCCTAATATAAATTAAGAAAGAATTTAGTGTCCGATATGACAAAATTATATAGCTCACACCCAAAAATCACATGCGTAGAGAAACTATGAGAGTTCTTTTTTAAGAAGTATCTTTGTAATATGTATTAAAAAATTTTAAAAAGGCATTTATGTTTTTTGTGCATGATTTTTTTCTGCAAAATTTAAAAGAAATTAGCACTTAAATACTTAATAGTTTGCCCTAGTTTGCACTTAGATATCCTTACCTATTAATAAGAACTTTTGTATACCTTGAACTTTCTACACATTGACACCTTTCATTATGCAAATGTCAAAATATTCTACCAAAAATTCTCATGTAACTAATACATGCTAATTTAAGAACTTTTTTCATCTGTAATGTTTGTTGAAGGAGAAGCGCTCAAATACTAATCTTAGAACTTCTTAATTCTGTCGAGATACGGTTAAAATAGCTAGTGATGTTGGTAGATTTGAAAGTAAATTCAGTAAACTGTAAATCTTAAAAGCTCTAAATTAACATGTGAATTACGCATGAGAATATCCAAGGTAATATCCCAATGATGGGGTAACAGAAGGTAATAAAGCGCAAATGTTAAAAACAAGTGAGGGTATTTAATTGCAAAGTAGGGTAGACTATAAGGTCTTTAAGTGCTAAGTGGGCTGCTGTGACAAACACCCCTTGTGGCTTGTGTCATCGCATGCTCCCACTGGCTTGCAGCTTCGTCTACGCGCCAAAAATATCCATGCCCTCCTTCAAATTCTCCAATCCCAAGTCCTGGATTCCTCAAACCCTAGAACCGCGTAATCCCATCTCCCTTCCCTCCAATGGGCCACCCAAAATCTCTCCTTTCTTCTCCGATCCCCCCAGAACATCAAAAAATTTCGACCCAAACCCTCTTTAGTCTCTCCTCATCCCTCTCTAGAACCCTCCTCTCAATAAAAAACCCCAAAACCCTAGCCCCCATCCACTCCCTCCTCCTCACCTCCGGCCTCGCTCGCTCTGCTTTCTTCACCGCCAAGCTCATCACCAAGTACTCAGAGCTCGGCAACTCCGCCGCCTTTTTCTCGGTATTTCTCTCAACTCCGACTTCGAAGCACAATGTCTTCTTGTGGAACACTCTAATAAGATCCTGCACGCAGAATTTCTTGTTCGAGGAAGCTTTAGATAAGTATGATGAAATGGGGGGGATGAGATTGGCCCCGGATGCATTCACCTTCCCGCCGGTTCTCAGCGCTTGCGCCGGGTTGGGCGCAATCGAATTTGGTCGGAAGGTTCATCGGGATGTTCGGGAAATGGGTTTTGGGCCCGATTTGTATATTTCCAATTCTTTGATTAATATGTATACTCGGCTTGGGTCATTGATTGAGGCCCGTGAGGTGTTTGATGGAATGCCTGTGAGAGATTTGGTTTCTTGGAATAGCTTGATCTCTGGGTATAGTGCGAATGGTGAGTGGGAGGAGGCTTTGGAGACTTACCGTGAGTTAAGGGTAGCTGGGGATGTTCCGGATTGTTTCACTGTGGAGAGTGTTATGCCGGCTATTGGAGGGCTTGGGGATGTTGTAGAGGGGAAAATTGTTCATGGTATTGCGAATAAGATTGGTATTGAGAAGGATAAACTGGTGAGCAATGGTATAATTGCAATGTACTGTAGGTTCGGGAATTTAGATGACGCATATAGGGTTTTTGACACAAAAGTGGTGAGGGATTTGGTTTCCTGGAATATTATGATTGATGGTTACTTTCAAGTTGGTTCTGTTGATAGGGCACTTGAGCTCATTCGAAAGATGGCAATAGGTTCAAAACCAGATCTTGTGTTAATCACCATTGTTCTTCGTGTTTGCTATGAGAGGGAGGATTTAAGAATTGGAAGGTCTATTCATGGTTTTATGTTAAGAAATCAGTATGAATGGGATACTGCTGCATATAATATGCTAATACTAATGTATTCAAAGTGCGGAAAGTTGGACATGTCACGTGAAGTCTTTGATAGGATGGTAGTTAGAGACTCAGTGTCATGGAATTCCCTAATTAATGGTTATGTGAGCAGGAAAAATTTCAATGAGGGAGTTCGACTTTTTAAGTCCATGAAAGAGTCAGGTGATCAGCTTGATTCAGTCACAGTTACAGCACTCATTTCTGTTTGCTCGCAGTTACTAGATTCAAGTCAAGGGCAGGGACTACATAGTGATGCTATCAAAAGAGGGTTAAAAGCAAATCTGTTCGTGAGTAATGCTCTAGTTGGTATGTACTCAAAATGTGATTTATTAGAAGATGCACTAAAAGTATTTGATGAGATGGAAGTCCATGACTCTGTAAGTTGGACAAGCATCATTTCGGGATGTGTTCAGAATGGGAACTATAAACAAGGTTTTAAGTTATTGACTGAAATGAAGCTTAAAGGAAATAAAATGGACGAGGCAACCATGCTAAGCATCTTGCCTGCATGTTCCTTCTTAGCATCAAAAAGACAAGGTAGAGAGGTTCATGGGTGCATTCTGAAAGTTGGTTTAGAGCATGATGTACCCATTGGGAATGCTTTAATCGAAATGTATTCGAAATGTGGCATTTTAAATTATGCAGAGAGGGTCTTTGAGACAATGGACATCAAGGACGTAGTGACTTGGACTGCTTTAATATCAGCCTATGGTATGTATGGCCAAGGTGAAAAGGCCTTGAGAGCTTTCAGAAGCATGGAGGAAACCGGCATTATACCAGATCATATTGTATTTGTAGCTCTAATGTATGCATGTAGCCACGGTGGTTTACTCGAAGAAGGGAAATTATACTTTAAGAGGATGGAAGAAGACTATAAGATAGTTCCAAGAATTGAACACTATGCTTGCATGGTTGATCTTCTTTCTAGACATGGACAGTTAGTTGAAGCTGAAAATTTCATTTTGTCAATGCCAATAGAAGCAGATGCAAGTATATGGGGAGCTCTGCTAAGTTCTTGTCGAGTTTCTGGTGAAACCCAGATGGCTGAGCGAATTGCTGAGAAAATTATGACACTGAATTGGGAAAATCCCGGCTATTATGTTTTGGTATCAAATGTGTATGCATCTATGGGGAAATGGAATATGGTTGGTAACGTGAGAAAAGTTATTAAAGACAAGAAATTGAAGAAGGATCCAGGATATAGCTGGATAGAAATTAGAAACAAAGTCTATGTTTTTGGGACCGGGGATCAATTAGTGGAGCAGAGTTCTGAAATGCATCAGTTATTAGAAAAACTTGACAATTTAATGGCTAAGGAAGGATATATACTAAACAAGAAATTTGTACTGCAGGATGTAGAGGAGGATGATAAAAGATATATGCTTTGTACACATAGTGAGAGGTTGGCAATAGCTTTTGGGTTACTAAATACAAAGCCAGGCACACCACTGCAGATAATGAAGAATCTTCGTGTCTGTGGGGATTGTCACACAGCAACGAAATATATTTCAAAGATTGTTCAAAGGGAACTGTTGGTTAGAGATGCCAACCGCTTTCATCTGTTCAAGGATGGATCCTGCAGCTGTGGAGATTACTGGTGACATTTCAAATTTAATGAGGCAGAAAATGTAAAGGGAAGCAAGAAGAACAACGGACAAAGGTGCAGGTATTCCTTTGCCACAGTTTCTTTTCCTAATTGAAAGCAAGGTGTAAAAATTGAATTGAAATCTCATGTTGCAAACACCTTGTTGTGTATTGCTCTTGATAATTGATGCTGATTTGATTGTGCAGTTTCTTTAAATGAAGTGATGAAAATGGCAATAGACATATATGACCTTTTGGCAAATATAATTGAGATAAATAAGCTAGTTATCTCTGAAGATTTGATTAGTTCCCATGTATTATCGTGTTGGAATAAAAACAGATTCATGTAAATCAGACATTTGGGCATTTCCAGGTCTGAGACAGTGATTTTGCCTTGAGATTTACTTCCAATATGACTAGTGGGTTCCTAGGATTCTGAATGCCACTCTTAGGTAACTCGAGATAGGGAAGTCAATGCTATCTTGAAGTCCCCTTTATCAGATTACTTGTCTGCTTGAAAAGTTGAATCTTTTGAATACTAACATCTATACTTCTTGTAACCCCTCCCCACCCCACTAAGATTATTGTGCTGAAGTACGTAACTGATCATAGAAATAATCATACTTAAATTAATGTTTCATGTTCTTTTGCTAAAACTTATAAAATATTCAGTCTGTGTTGGAGATAATAGCTTAATATGATTACTAGCATAGCAAATGCCTCTTATAGATGATAACATCACTCGGATACATGCTCTGATTCCTCATATTGCTAGAACATAAGTTTGACAATTTGTTATTGGATGCAGCTAACTGAAGCCTGCGATATCTGTGGGAGAATTCAATCGTCTTATCACGAGGTGGATGATTCTGCTTGATCACTGGAACCTGGAGAAAATTTTGTATAGTTGCAGAAAATCTGGTAAATTTCTTCGGATTCACTGCCTTAAGGCATGCAACTTCTTCTGCCACTCCCAACCAAAATGCCATCCTACCTGCTACCAAGTCTAAGTATCAGATATTTTCTCCTCCAAAGAATCTCTTGCCTTAGAGCTCCTTGTCAAGCGTCCCTATCAGCTCCTCTAACGGTCCAATGGCTTTGGCCCACTTTTGTCCTTCTGCAAAGAATGCCACCCTTGATGCAGCTCGACACTGCAATGTATATACAAGGTTAATGGCAGGATAGGAGTGTCTTCGAGGGTGGTGGTGGGGGGGGTAAAGTTTCAAAAAAATATCCCCTCATCTATGACCATTGACGAGACAATTAATTTTATAATGGAGTTTTGTTCTTCAAACATTTCTGTAGACGCTTGGACGAACATTTCCATTGCAGAATCAATATATTTTGGGAGTTGAAAAGAAGAAAATAAAGAAAAGATAACTTCTTGGATAAAATAAAAATAATCTTTTTCATGTTTAGTCTATATTTTTCCATACAGACTTTTTTACCGTCTGAAGAACCAAACTCTCTTACAAAACTAACGATTTCGTAAATGGTCATAGATGTGAGTCCTCCTTTTTCGAATGTTTTAGATGAGGGTGTTTCTTGGAAAGTAGAGTATCATGAAGGAGTTCCTTGTAATTTATCAAAAAAAAAAAAGGAAAAGAAAAGAAACTAAATTTATTAACATGAGTTCTAGTCACCTTGTCTTCAACAAAAGCGTGCAATGGCTCGCTCGTGTGAATCCTCAGGCCAAATCGGCCGTTCCTTCCGCACTTCATCAATATATTAATTAAAGTATCACCAGCGATTCGACCACAGCCTTTCCGTTGTGTACAAGCGCTGGAGCCTGTTTGTTGATTGGATTGTTTTCAAGAAGGGAAGAGCTCTTGTCAGAGAGAACTTCTTCAATGTACTCGTACTCGATGCCCTTCATCTTCAATGCCCGTTCTATGCGACGAACGAACCGCTGCTGGGCTTTGCCCACATTCCATAGAGCTTCACTTGGTAGGAGCACGCCATATTGATGGAGGGATGAGTGAATCTTGATCAACACGAAAATATTGGTGACTATAGGAGATAATTTGTGGTTAGATACCTGTTCAGATAAGTTCTAAATGGAGATAATGCGTTAAAATCTTTCAGGTATCTGTTTTGGCCAGTATCCACCAAGGAATTGAGATTTTGAAGGGATGCGATCTGAGCACTGGCCATGGAATTGATGTTTTTTGTGGACACTTTAGAATAGAAGAAATTGTTAAAATAGCCCCAAACCAAACTTTATTTTAAAGACCGACCCACTCCGGTGTTTATTTCAAAAATTGACCCAGTTTCTGGTCACGTCAGCATCGTGGCCAGAAACTAGGTCGATCAAAAAAATTAGCTTCTTAATTAGTCGGGGTTGAAAACCTTGACTAATTAGGACCTCCCCAACGCCACTTGTGTGGGTAGGGGACCTAAACAAATCGGGGTTACGAACTTCGACAAATTTTGTCGGCGTTCCCAATCCCGACTGTTTGGCAGAGCCCACTTGGGTGGCATTTCCCAGCACAAAATGGTCGGGGTTCCTAACCCCGACCATTTGGCAAAGACTCTCCAGCCCACAATTGCTGAAAAATCTCATCTCCTACTAACATATATCAATTCTCGACTAAAATTATCAAGTTTAACACAAACTCTCTTGCTACATATATATCAATCCATAATCAATTTCAAACACATATCTTTAGATAATTATTACATCTATAGCCAATCTCTAACAAAAACATAGCATTTAATTCACTTACTAAAAATCCAACCATAATCAAGTCACAGTAGCATTTCAAACATAAACATCATAGCATTTCAAACATAAATATCATATGAAGTATATTGAAATTTAGTAAATATATAGAACTCCCTTTCCTCTTACTCACCCTCTCCCTCTCGCTATGCCTCATCTTCCTCTCCCCCTTTCCTATTTGCCTTCAACATGAGCTTGGATGATCTCAACGTCCGGTTGTGTGTGAACTTGTGAGCGCATGACATCTTCGTCGACTTGAACCTGTTGTGAACATCCGGCTTGAGATTGTTGTGAGCCCCCGGCTTCATCATGTGCACGACTTGCTCGTGTGTCCTCCAGCTTCATCTAGTTACTTAGTCGTTTCCCCGTTTTAGGGTTGGGGAGTCTCTGCCAAATGGTCGGGGTTGGAAACATCAACCATTTTGACTAGGGCTTCCCTACGATCTGCTAAATGGTCGGGGTTCCCAACCCCGACCATTTTGTGCAGGGCAATGCTACCCAAGTGGGCTCTGCCAAACGATCGGGGTTGGGAACCTTGACAAAACCAATCGGGGCTAACAACCCCGACTTGTTTAGGTCCCCTAACCACGCAAGTGGCGTTGGGACGGTCCTGATTAGTCGAAGTTGGCAACCCCGACTAATTAGAAAGCTGATTTTTTTTAAATCGACCCAGTTTCTGGCCACGATGCTAATGTGACCAGAAACTGTGTCGATTTTTGGAATAAAAGCTGGAGTGGGTCGGTTTTTAAAATAAAAGTTTAGTTTATGGCTATTTCGAAAATTTCTTCCTAGAATATATATTTTAGTGTATCTCATTCATCGTCTTCTTTCGCTTTTGGAGGATCAGGATGTTTTGTCGTTTTCTTCATTTCGGCTGAGTGTAGTGGGCCGATTCATTTCGGCTGAGATTAGAGAAGCTTTTGGAACTCAAAACTTGTAGTCGGCATTGTCAAATTAAAAGTTTCACTAACAAATTACTTTTTTTTAATTTTTTTTAATACATCTTACAAAGCTACTTCTCAAAAGAGAACTCCTAAAGTTTTTCTATGCATGTGGTTTTTGGGTGTGAGGTATACAATTTTCTCAAAGTGGACGCTTAATTCTTTCTTAAATTTATATTAGGCCCTCAATCTTCATGTGTCTAATTTACACCCTCAAATCTATTAAGTTGTTTTAAATAACATCCTCATACCTATTAAGGTTTCATATTAAACCCTAAATTCTTTCTTACTTTATATTTAGCATCTAAACCCTTATATTTCTAATTTGCACCTCCAAATCTATTTAAGTTGTTTGAGCTAGCAATAAAAAGTTGACTAACTACAATTAAATATAACCAAAAGATGTTTATCCAAAGAAGGGTAGACTTCACAAAATCCCAACTTTGTTTCAACATTAACCCCACTTAACTTCAGAAATATTACTCAACCCCTTTAAGTTTGTTAGGTAACTAGGGGTGGATGAGCAAACAGTAAGGTCAGTTGGTTTTGACAAATTTTGGCAAAACTGGACCTAACCAGTCTACAACCGGAACCACACTGAATGGACCGAAATTAGTCTGGTCAGTTCGATTAATTCGGTTTAAATTTTTTTTTCAAACCGGCCTGACCGAACCATATTCTAAAAACAAATCGAACCATTAAAATTCGATGGGTTCGGTGGGTTTAATCAATTTGAACAGATTAATTAGCGCACACCCCTACAGGCAACTCCCTAACTGGATCTAATTGAGCGCGTAATTGAATCGGCAAACCAGTCTCTTCCTCTTGTGCATTCCCAAATGCTTAATCTCTTTCTCGCTCCCTCGCTAGAAATTTTGAAGAAACCAGCATTCGATCAGCAGCAGCAGCTAGCGTTATCTCCTTTGTTAGTTAAGATGAACACATTTGGGTGTTAGTTTTCCGTTTTGTTGGAAATGAACTGGGGGGAGACTTGCACTAGAATGCACCCATTTGGATTCATCAGACGACAAACCTTAACGCATGTCTTTTTTCTTTTTTTTTTTAAATTGATATCATGGTTTACTTCATGTTTCATCTCATAAAAATTGTGCATAACCAACAAGAACGTGTCGGTAGCGACAGTCTGGCAGCGACAATATTTGACATAGAAATATTTGGAGCCTATTAACATAGATACATTGTCTCTCCTCCCCCCCACACCATAGAAATGCACCATATATACTAAATACATCTTGATCTCACTCACCCAATGCTTTCCAAGTTTTCTTGATTCATATCCTCAACCTCCAATTATCAGAACCCTAGTACCGCAACCATCATTCTCCACTACAGTCTACACCCATACCTACACCAAGACAAAAACATCCTTCTCCTCCAAAAGAAGTGATCACATCGCTCCACATTAATGTACACTTGAATTATCTCCTCCCATAGAAGGATATCCAAATTCATATCCGTCCAAAAAAAAACATTTCGTCATTTACAAGGGCATCATCATACACACCCCCCCCTCCCTCCCCGCCCCTATATATGCCTCCTCGTTTAGTAACAAAACGTGACACGCCGTTTCATATAACTCTCCTTAGCTCCAAATACATTCACCAATTAAGTACATAGCAAAAACAATGGCAATCTCGAGCCAAGTGAAGCTCTATGGTATGTGGGCTAGTCCTGCGGTCCGAAGGGTTGAATGGGCGTTGAAGATGAAGGGGGTTGAGTATGAGTACGTTGAAGAAGATCTCTCGAACAAGAGCCGCTGTCTTCTTGAATACAATCCGGTTAACAAGCAAGTTCCCGTGTTGGTCCATGACGGCAGACCCGTGGTTGAATCTTTGGTTATTATTGAGTATATTGATGAGGTTTGGAAGGAGAAGAAGATCTTGCCTGAGGATCCTTACGAAAGAGCTACGGCAAGGTCTTGGGCTGTTTTTGCGGAGGATAAGGTCATGATTAATCTTAACGTTGATGATTTTTATCCTCACTATGTTTAACTTTGTTTACTTATATATAGTTGCCAACATGTATTTATCTCCTTGATGCGTGATTTAAATTGAGAATTATTGGTAGATAAGTTTATTCTTGTAGATCTTTTCTGGACGTATAGTTAAGCTCCAATGACACACTAACATGTCAAGAGTAGATATGAAACTCACTAATCATCACCAAATTATTGAACCTTTTAAGCCTCGAACATCTTGCATTAGACAATACTATGTAAGGCATTGCAATTTGTATCATGTTTTTTTCTTTCAAATAGTATCATTGTATTTTCAGTTATCATTTACGCATACATGAGCAATGAAAGGTGCTTGAAAGTTGGCATAAAGTTCCCAATTGTAGTTGAAATTTTACGGAAAAATCATCATCGGAATATTGAAAAAGAGGCATTTATTTATTTGAGAGTCAACTACTGGACTATTAGTTACTGTCATGCGCCCTCGTAATTATGCCTGATTAAGATGATGTACGATCTATTTCCACACACACACAAAAAAAAAAGATAATATGTGGTTATTTGACCTAGGCTAGATGCTTCAAAGCTAGTATAGATATGAACAAAAAAAATTGTGGAAGGAGAAAAAAGTAGATAGAATATTGAAAAAAAAAGGTGGTATACAATGTGCAAGTTTTCCTTGAAAAAGAGAGACATAATGCCGTAGAAGCTTAATTTCTTTATTTTTTTCACTGGTAGGAATCTATTTGAAAAAGCAATAGAATACTTGATTATTAGTTAATTACCATTATGCACGTACCTAATCATAATGAAGATAATGGTCCTAAACACAATGTAATTAAAGAATACAATTCATGTAGCTCACCCAAAAAAAAATTAGTGTAAAAGTTCTGTCATTGTTTGTAGTATATGCGCACTTTTAATTGTGCCGGCCCATGGAGAGGATCTATAATCACTTTACCCATTAGACATGCCTAAAAGCTGATATATTGATAACGGAAAGATTGGGAAAACTCCAAAACATCTTCAGAATCTCACATGATTAAAGGGGAATCTAATATGCAAACCATTTTCTTGAAAAAGAAAGACATTGAGTTCTAACAACAATTGCTTTATTTTTCAGTCCTAAAAAAATCAGTCCTAGGATATTAGTACTCAGATGGTGATGTAATATAAGCCACGCATTGCTCTGGGGAAACTTTATCTCATTTCTATCCTGAGATCCACAGATTCAGGCTGGCGAGCATCAACTAGCTCTGGTCAAAAGCTTTGAGCCTCATACTCCCACTAAAGTTTTCACTGTTGCTTTCAGGCATTATCACCAACAGACTAGGACCAACTTATGAAATGACTGGCATAAAAGGACTAGCATGCGTTCCACGTGTCTTAATGAACTTAAAACAGCATATGATCTGTGTAAAAGTTAACAATTATCGGCGTGTTTTTGTTAGTCATTTGAAGTAGTACGTAGAACTAATAATTTTTTTCCCCCTTAATTATTACCACCTATATATAATCTTTGTGCCGATCACATTCAACTTTTTCGATCAATATATAATACCTAACGTATGTGGAAGTTCTTTTGTTGATTGGTTATGTGATGCAAGCCCGAGCCGGACATCAAATTGCTTCACTAGAATTATCGGTAGGATATTTCTCTGAGTCAAAAAGATGTACAATCAAACTTATCTTTAAGTCCCAGGAAGTGATTGTGTACCCAAATATCGGTAGATATGTCTAAGGTGTGTGTAGTTATGCCTATTCATAAACTTCGGTAGAATTTAACGATGGAGGATGCCATATGAAGTCATAGTAGATAGTTACGTTGCACATGCTCAAATGGCATTGATATCCGAGTACAGTAGAAGTTGACATCTTTGCGTCCTTATCTTAACAGTGTCGAGCTGCAACCAAGGCGGTATTCTTCACTGAAGGAGAAGAACAAGCAAAAGCCATTGAAACTCTGGAAGAAGTCATAGGGAGAGTTGATGCAGAACTAAAAGGAAAAAAGTTCTTTGGAGGAGAGAAGATAGGATACTTGGACTTGGCTCTTGGTTGGCTTGCATTTTGGCTCGGGGTAGCAGAAGAGGTTGCTTGCTTCAAAGTTGTGGACTCTCAGAAATTCCCGAACTTCGTGTCATGGATCGACAACTTTCTCCAGATGTCGGTGATCAAAGAGAACCTTCCACCTCATGGGAAAACTGTCGAATTCTTCAGAAATTATCGCCAGATTCAGTTAGCTGCGGATAAATGACTGAATCGTGCTCCTGTCTGTTGAATATCAGTCATGTTAGAAATGCATAATAAGTTCTTTCCCCGCAGAAATTATTCGGGGAACTGCAACTCAATTGATGAATAATTTCTTAAGAATCATCGACATGAAGCGTCAAAAATGTTTGGGTTAATTGCGTAATGACCCTGTACTACAACCCAATTGCAGATAGACCTCCTATAGTTCTATTGCTGCAATTCTATCGTTGCAGACAGACCCCTTGAGTGAAAATATTTTGACACTTTAACCCTCCAAGAGTCTATATGTCATAGGCAATGTTCTCTTTTTCTGAGTATGAAGAGTCAAAAAAGTTTCACACCGGGGTTTATTAGCAATAATAGAATTACAAGGGGGTCTATCCACAATTGGGCTATAGGAAAGAAAGTGTAACAGCAATTCACCTAAAAATTTTTGGTGCAGGGTCTGACTTGTGTGCGTTTCCACTCTCATGTATTCACTAAAATCTTGCAGTAAATGAGTGGATTGACCGTCTAAGAGCTCACCAATCCCATAAATTAATTGCATATCAGCGTACACCCATTTTTCTGGCATAAATCATATTGTGGGTTTATCTGTCAGAAAGTAGTGCGCAATGGAAATAGATTGAGAATTAGAAATAGTAAAATGTTGGGCTAATTTGGCTCCTAATTACGTTTAAAGTTGCTGCAAGTTGAGCATGCGTAGAACCCGAGCTCATAACTCCAATCTTGAAAAAGTATGCCTGCAGATTATAACAGAATCAAAACTATATGATGTCAGTTTAATGGCAGTGTTGCACAAACATATACCGATGTTATGGTAAATAAACTCATCACTCTCTGAGATGTTACGCGGCATCAATATGATAGTTCTAACGTTTATACTGTCTCATTTATTTGGTATGCACTTGATGATTTAGAAATAAAATAGAGTGAACTGAATTGGCAGCCAAAAAGAAGCAAAAAAGCATAGTATAACTCAAATACACGGTCTCAAAAAAGACAACTTAGTTTACAAACAAATCGTACAAGAAGGCACCAATATGTTTGACAATATCTGAGAAAAACTTCATAGATGTTGTCACTGAATACATTTGACATAGATAAGCAAAGCCCAAAGGAGAAAATGACAAAAGGGGTGGGAGTTTCAACACTAGAAAATAAATGATAAAGGGAAAAAAAAGGCCGAAAAAAATGCAACAGTAGCACAAGCTGTGTTATAAAAAGTGACTTCTGGCAGAAATATTTCAGGAGCAACAATGGCAAAAGAAGTGAAGCTCTTAGGGACGTTAATGAGTCCATTTGTTATCAGAGTCAAATGGGCAATGCAAATGAAGGGTATTGACTACGAGTACATCGAAGAAGATCTAGGCAACAAGAGCTCATTGCTCCTCAAGTATAATCCACTTCATAAGAAAGTTCCAGTGCTTGTTCACAATGAAAAACCAATTTGTGAATCATTTGTAATCCTTGAATACATTGATGAGACATGGAAAGATAATCCAATTTTGCCAAAGGATCCTTACGCGAAGGCCATGGCGCGATTCTGGTCGAATTTTGGTGATGAAAAGGTAAGCAATAATCTCCTTCGTTATTTCTCGTGAAGCTCAGTCATGGATTAATAGCTCTTGAAGTTCTAGTGGCAAAAAAGGTCATGGGCCAGAGATAACATGCAATAAGAAATCAGGATATCCATCGAAGTAATCTTATTAGAAGAGTAAACCAGAGAGAATTACCTACAAAGAAAATGTGATAACTATATTGAGAGTTGATGATTGAATTAAAAAACCGATGATATTTGACTAGCAACTGAAAATGAGGGAGGTAAAAGGTGACTTTAAAAGCTCAGGAGGATTTTCTTCCAATCATGCAAATGTTCGAGGATTTCTAAAATTTATCCTATTTAGAGTGCAAACATAGAATTTTTTTGAAAAACAGAAATACTTTTGAACTTATGAAACTCCTCCTCTCAAATTGGCTAAATGGTTTCTGAATTCTATTTATTCTCATTTGAATTTTGACATCTTTCATTATAGTGCTTTTCTTCGATGTGGC